CTGCCACTGCCGGAATGGCGACTGCTTACCATGTCTGGAGTGGCGGTCGCTTTCCGTGTCCTGAATGACGGCCACTCACCGTGGTCAGAGTGACGGCCCTTGCGCCTTCCATGGCCAGAGTGACGGCCCTTGCGCGTGCCGTGGCCGGAGCGACGGTATGGGTGGTGGGGGTACTGCTTCGGGAAGGACCGTCTATTTGTCTGGCAAGAGGACCATGAAGCCGTTGCGCGTAGACTTTAGGATGTGATTTTTCTTATGTGCGCTTGTACTCGGCCATGACCTGGCCGTTTTCTTGAAAACGTGTCCCCCTTTTTAAACTAAATGAATAAAATGAAGTATGAATTTTTGGTCCGTCTTTGTCGTGTTGCATACTCCACTTTTGTCACTTGTAAATCTTTTATAACTTTTTCACGGCCGTCTCCCATAATGACGGGGCGTATCTCTTCAGATACTGGCCATTGATCGGTAAGTTGTGCCACTCTCAATCCCTGTCTTTTAACTGAAATGCACCTCGGCCAAGGATTTGTTCAATAATGAACGGCCCTTCCCAATTGGGTGAGAATTTGCCGAACCGAGGGTCCTTCATCCCGATAGGAAGCACGGCTCGCCATACTAAGTCGCCTTTGGCGAAAGTCTTTTGTTTGACTTTCCTGTTATAAGCTCTCGCCACAATCTGCTTCTGTGCCTGCATTAGGTTATAAGCATCGAGTCTGGATTGCTCCAAGTCTTCTGACCCCTGAGCCATGGCTTGTGCATAGTCCTTCCCTTTTTGCTCAGGTTGTTCGGCCACACGAAGGGACCGAACCTTTAATTCCATTGAAACGATGGCGTCGTGACCGTAGGTCAAGGCGTAAGGAGATGTGCCCGTGGCCGATCGCTTTGAGATCCTGTAAGCCCAAAGGGCTTCGGGGAGCATGTCGTGCCATGCCCTAGGTTTCTCCTAAAACATTTTCTCAAGGATGCCCTTGATTACCTTGTTGCTTGCCTCGGCCTGCCTGTTAGACTGGGGGTAGTAAGGTGTTGAGTGGACCAATTTGATCCCCATCTTTTCGGTGTATTCCCGTGTCTCGGCCGATGCGAATACTGGGCCGTTATCGGCCGTGATAGTTTCTGGGATACCGAACCTGTGGACGATGTGATTTTCAAAGAATTTGACTACCTGTGCGCTGGAAATCGACCGATAGGACTCCGCCTCGACCCATTTAGTAAAATAGTCGGTCGCCACCAAAATCCATGCATGTTGGTTGGACGCGGCCGGATGGATTTTGCCAATGATATCCACGGCCCATCCTCTGAATGGCCACGGTTTAGTAACCGGGTGGTGGGCTTCGGCCGGTACCCTTTGTATGGGGCCATAAATTTGACACTTAATACACCCCCTCATGTACTCTATGCAGTCTTTTAAAATGGTCGGCCAGTAATAGCCGTGCCTCCGAACCAGCCATCTCATCTTGACGCCAGACTGATGAGCGCCGCAAATCCCCTCGTGGGACTCGGTCATGATAACCTTGATGTCTTCGGCACTGGGACATAAAAGCAATAAGCCGTTTGATCCCTTTCGATACAACTCGTTCTGATAAATTAAATAACATCGAGCCCGGAAACGTGTAGTTCTCTCATGGCTGCCCGAGGGGTCACGCAAATATTTCACTATGGGGTAGCGCCAGTCGGCTTCGGCCATGTTGACCTCGTCGGCAATTTCGGCCGAAGATACTTGCGCTGCCATCCTGCGTTCGGCCAAAGCCGGCAGGGTACGCCTCTCGATCCTTATTACGCGATCGTGGTCGGTATCCGGGATGTTTACACCTGATGCTACTTGGGCCATCTCATTGGCCTCATGGTTTTCGGCGCGCGGTACATGAACAAAGGTAATTCTGGAAAAATCATCGGCCGTGTTGAGGGCTGTCACATAATACATAGTTAAATTCTCACTTGTGCATTGGTATTCCCCGATTAGTTGGTTAATTACCAGTTGAGAATCACTGTAGACCAAAACACGGGTTGCCTTCATTTCTTTTAAAATCTCGAGACCGATGATGAGTGCTTCATATTCGGCCTGATTATTGGTGCATTTGAAGTTGAGTTGGAATGCGAACTGCCATCTTTGCCCTTGAGGGGATTCGATCACGACTCCGGCGCCTGACCTGGCCTCGATACAGGAGCCGTCAAAGTACATAGTCCAGTAGTTCTTTTCCATGCGGGCCATGCCGATCTCGACCTCCAACTCTCCATCCTGCCCCTGGGCCGAGTGATGAGCCAGGAAATCGGCCAATGCCTGACCTTTGACCGATTTCTGACCCATATATTGAAAGGTAAATTCCGATAATGCCATCGTCCACTTCCCAATTCGGCCGCGTATGATCGGCCGAGTGAGCATATACTTGATGAGATCGGTCTTGGAGATGATCTGAACGACCGAAGGAAGCATGTAATGCCGCAACTTGGTGGCCGCGAAATAAAGCGCCAGGCACAACTTCTCGATCGGCGAATAGTTTAGTTCGGCCGTGTTGAGGGTGCGGCTTAGATAGTATACGGCTTGTTCTCGCCCAGACTCGTTGTTTTGAGCCAGCAGACAGCCGATGGAGCCCTCTGAGGCCGAAATATAGAGTCTCAAGGGTTTCCCTCTCTTTGGCGGCATAAGGACCGGTGGTTGGGACAGATATTTCTTGATGTCATCGAGGGCGGCTTGATGTTCTGCTCCCCATACGAACTGTTCCGAGTCCTTCAGTTTGAGCAGAGGAGTCAACGGCCGGATTTTTCCCGCCAAATTGGATATGAACCGTCGTAAAAAGTTGACCTTACCGAGGAAGGACTGGAGCTCCTTTTTGGTCCTTGGTGGAGGGTTCGCCATAATGGCCGTAGCTTTATTTTTATCCACCTCGATCCCTCGTTGATGAACCAAGAAACCGAGGAAGTTCCCGGCGCTCCCATTCGGTTAAAATCTTGTCGGAGATGTCCTACGTGGTCGGCTTTGGATGGGGACTTTACAACCACGTCGTCAATGTAGACTTCAACGGTCCGGCCTATAAGGTCGTGGAAAATCAGGTTCATAGCTCGCTGGTATGTCGCGCCGGCATTCTTTAGGCTGAACGGCATGACTACCCATTCATAGGTCCCGATGGCTCCTGGATACCTAAATGCCGTTTTGTGGACATCCTCCTCGGCCACGAAAATCTGGTTGTAACCTGCATGGCCGTCCATGAAAGACAAGAGTTCGTGCTTTGCGGCCCCGTCTACCAGGAGGTCTCACATAGGCATGGGGTATTCGTCCTTGGGGGTTGCGAGATTCAGGTTTCGGTAATCGGTGCAAACCCTCAAAGCCCCAGTCCTCTTTAAAATCGGTACAATGTTGGCCAACCACTCAACGTATCGGGCCGTTCGGATGAAGCCGGCTTTAAGGAGCCGTTCAATTTCTTCCTTGACTTTAAGCTGTACCTCGGTCGAAAATCACCTTGGCGGCTGCTGGAAAGGCTTGAACCCTTCCTTGATTTTCAATTCATGCTCGACCAAACTTCTCGGCAATCCAGGCATCTCATGATAATCCCAAGCAAAACAATCCTTATATTCATGGAGCAGGCCGATAACCTCGGCCGCTAGCTTAGGATCCAAAAGTTGGCTTACAAAAAGAGGTCGTGGCTCGGCCTCTGACCCTACATTTATTTCTAATAAAGGGTCCTGGACTTCGGGATAGTCGTCCTCCATTTCGGCGGGCGCCGTTTCCAGGTCGTCCAAAGTCAGAGCGTCCGTCTCGTCTGATTCGTGGAGGAATTCGATCAGGTTGATTGGTGAATTTGGCCGTAAGGATTCCTCCGCCCAATGTTCCAGCAGTCTTTCTACCAAATCATTCACGGCCGCTGCTCCTTCTTCTTTAGTGGCCTTATCTGTCATTTAAAGGCTGGTGAGGTCAATCAATAATTCGCGCGCCGAAGCCTGTCGGATATTCTCGGCGCCTAACTCCAGTACTTTCTGGGCCGTCGTTCTGGTTGGTCTGCCGTTTGCATCGTGGCCGGTGAGGACAACCCATCCAACGTCGTCGTCGTAAATCCGAGCTTGTACGGCGTTGGCCTCAAAAGGTTTTTCATCGGCCGGGTGTATAGACACCTTCTGGCCATCCCAAAAGAATAATAGTTGGAAGAGGGAGGACGGGATACACCATCGTGGCCGGTGAGGACAACCCATCCAACGTCGTTGTCGTAAATCCGAGCTTGTACGGCGTTGGCCTCAAAAGGTTTTTCATCGGCCGGGTGTATAGACACCTTCTGGCCGTCCCAAAAGAATAACAGTTGGAAGAGGGAGGACGGTATACACCCAGACTGGTGGATCCAATCACGGCCGAGCAAAATGTTGTAGTCGACGCTGGATTCGACCACATAGAAGGCCGCGACTCTTGTCTGGTCGGCCATAGTGATCTTTAATGGCAACACGCCGATGGTTTTAGACTTATCGCCGACGAAGCTGCTCATGACCACGTCGCTGGGGATGAGGTCCTCCCTTGATTTGTCTAGCTTCCTCATCAAGGAATAAGGAAGGATGTTGACTGTTGCCCCACAGTCAACGAAGACCTTGGATACGGGCACACCCTCTATATGAGCCGAGATGTATAACGGCTTCAGGTGTCGGTATTTGTTTGGCTCGTTAAATGCCACGGCCAATAACTCTTCCTTTGTCTTTGGCCTCTGATCCAGCTGCTCCTCGGCCACATCATCCTCCAGGCCGCTGGTTTGCCCTCCTGAGGCTGAAAACTCAGATGGTAGCACCATGAACATGTTGATGCCGACCTCTTCCGGCTCCCTCGGGTCTCCCCTACCAGCTTCTTCTTCGGCCTCATAGCTGTCTTTGGCGAGGACCTTTTCCTCGACCATCCCGAGGATCCCGTCATATTCTTCATCGGAGATTCCTAAAGCGGGGTCGTCTTCGGCCTCATGCCCGAAGAAAGGATCTCCGAAACCCTCGATCATAGGCCTTGCGGTCCCTGGGCTATCGGCTGTGGATGCTTTGATCTCAGAGGAGTCCGAGGCTTCGACCTCCTTCTTGAGGGCCCGTCTAGCTTTCGCCAATGTGTCCCTGGCCGTTAAGTAATCGTCTAAGCGGCTTACCCGGCCCCTTTCCTTGGTCGTCAGGCCAAAGACGGTGTCTGCCTAGTAAAATACTGGCGGAGATATTCTAAATCTCCCCTGCTGAAGGGGACTTTAGCCTCTGATCCACCGAGGTCGGGCTGGTAACTTGGCAGAACTTTCGCTCTGGCTTCCCTGTTCGCCTGGTATACGGCCTTAATGGCCGAATCAGAACCGCTGGTGATGAGGAGCGCCTCTACTTTGGTGTTTTTGAGGGCCAACTCCACGATTTCACGGCTCTCAGGGGTCATGCCGTATAGGTCTGTGGCCGAATGGTCTTTATGGAATTCTTTGAGAAATGACAGACCATTGGCCGAAAAAGGGGGGTCCCTTCCACGGTAGATGTCGACGATACCCTCGTTCGTTCTCTCCGAGATCGCGGCCCTAGGCTGAACCAAAATGGCCGCCGTTCCACGGGGACTCTCGTCCTTCCTAGGGCACCACGCTCTTGGAGGCTTGGTACTGGCCGCTTTTGCAGCCGAGGGGACGATTGGAATGGATGGTGGCCCGTCTGCAGCTGCCGTTTTCTTTCGGCGCTTGGAACCTTCGGCCTCGGTTGTCTGTATTCTGGCCTGCTGAACTTGTCTCTGCATCCTCCTCAGCTGGGTTTTTGTCAGTGGCTCGGCCCTGCCCCCAGGCCGTGCATGGTACCAGCGGTCATCCCGTATGACCGGTGGTTTGAAAGTTTTTACTGGCTTCGGGGCGACCTCGTCCTTGGGGCCCAACGAGGTACCGTGGGTTTGTGCCCCTAGTCGGTCAAAAACCGCCCTGATGGCAGGCCGATGGTCGTACTGACCGCTAAACTTCTTCATGGTTGGTTGGGATGGCTCAGCGGCCTTCCTCTTGTTCTCCTGCGGCCTGGGCTGACTGATCTCATGCTTGCAACGTTCGCACAGCGATGGCTCTAATTCGGCCATTGGCCCCTTTCCTTTCGCCTTCCAACGAGTTTCCCTATATCCTGCTGGGAGTTGGGCGTCAACCATGTTGACGACAGGTGGAAGGAACGGTTTGGAGTCAACTTGCATGGCCGCCTTCTCCGGAAACTGAAGCTTCTTTTCGTCTATCAATTTCTGGATGACGTCTCGCAGGACAACGCAGTTGTTGGTGTTGTGGGACCAAGAACTGTGGTATTTGCAAAACGTCTTCCCTTTTAGCTCATCGGGTTTCGGAATTTTATGGCCAAAAGACAATTTGACCATTTTCTCAGCCAATAACAGGTCGAAGATAGCCTCGGCCCTTGTTAAGTCGAAGGTGTAGGCCTTTGTTTCCCGCGTCGTGAACTTGGCGTCGGGAATTTCTGTGCGGTTATTGTCGATTTTAACAAGCCCTTTGCAGACGAAGGGTTTGTCTATGCTGACTTCGGCTGAACTCATCTCTACTTCATCGTTCTCGGCCTCTGCGGAACCGTCTGCTTCAGCATAGCTGACGATGGGATTCCTGTAGTAGGTCCCTTTGGAGGCCGTCTTCTTCTGCATCTCCTCTTTTAACAAGGACGCATATCTGTCCACCTTGTTAGTCAGGTCATGCATGTCCCGGAATTTGATTCCCTGGAATTTCTTCCGGTACTCGAATTCCAGACCTTCCTCGGCCATCTTGACGAACTCCCTCTCCGGTAGGTTCGTGCGGCACCAATTTCTACATGTTTTGAATCGTTGTAGGTAATTACTAGGTGATTCATCCGACGCCTGGCTCATCCTTGCCAGCTCGGCGACCGTTATCTCTCGGTTGGTCTGATAGAAATGTTCGTGGAATATTCTTTCCATATCAGACCAATCCCTTACTGAGTTCGGCGGAAGGTTTATGGACCATGAGAACGCCGCGCCGGTCAAAGAGTGGACAAATAAATGGAGCTTCTGGGTGTCCGAGTCGGCCTCTCCACATTGGGCCGTGAAACGGGCGGGACCTGCTGCACGTCGTTCTGTGGCCTTACTTGCGGGGCCGTTTGAACAAGGGGCTCGGCCGGAATGACCAAGCTGGTTGACGCCAGATGAGCGCCGTGGGATTGAACCAGTTGCGTATGCGTTGGCGCTGGAACGGCCGACCCGTAGTGAAGGTGAAAGCCCGGCGGAAACAACGAC